GGCACGGCTCCCTCGGGGAGCCACGCTGGGGAGGTGTCCTCTCCTGGCTCCCGCCTGCCTCTCACCCCTTCCCCGGGGTGTTCTGAGGTGGTTTGTTAGCCCAGGGCTGTGCCATTCGCTGGCCCGCGTCTGCAGAGGGTATGAATTGGTGGAGTTCTGGGCAGTTCTTTCACTTGTAGTCTCCTCTGATCCAAAGTGCTGCTCCAGGGGTTTTGGATTGAGTTGGAGAAGGCCTGAGGATGTTATTCCTGCCTGGAAGACCACCGTGGGGAGAGGTGGTCATAGCAGAGCCAAGGCAAGCCAGACAGCCTGGATTCAGGAGCAGAAGCTTTGTTCTCCAAGCTCTGTCCCTCCATTCTGGCCTCTTGTCTGCCCTGACCAGGACATTTCCTATGTGGGCACATGCCCCACTCACTGCTTGTCACAGGGAGCAGGGTCCTGGGGTGTGGGGTTCTGGACAGGAGGAGAGGGAAGCTGCTGGGAAGCACAGACAGCTTCGGGCTGGGGGCATGCAGATGTTTTGGGATGGCTTTCCTAGGCAGGGGCTGCTCCAGGGCCATTGTGGCTGGTGGGGGAGGATGTGGTGGGGGCTGCAGAGAGGGTTTACTGTGTGTGGTGTCCTGCTGACTCTGCCAGACCTGGAGTTTGGAGGGAAGGAACATGATCCAGGACAGCCAAGAAGTCAGGAAACCACTGGGGATACAGCTGCCTTTGGTGCAGCACAAGCTGGTCAGAGTCTGTCCTGTGCTCAGAGGCTTGACAAGAGAGCTGTTTATTTTGCATCCCCAGGGAGCAGGACAGCTTGTGGGTAGCATTGTAGATCACCTCTCCCACTCACCATGACTCCACCTGTGTTTCACAGGGACCCAGAGCAGGCTTTCTCATGGCATGTCTGGTGTAGTTTTCAGCTCTCGCGGCGCCCTGAGCCCTGCTGTGCTTCCAGGGACTGCTGCACTGGGTGCCAGCAGGAGTGGCCATGCCAGCCCAGCCCTCCTGCAGCTGGAGCAGTGCCAGGGCTGATCAGAACGGGAGGATTACAGGCAGGGAAGGCAGCAGGTACCTCCAGCATGGCTGGAACCCAGCGGGCAACCAGGGAGACATTTCAGAGTTTGCAGAGGCTTGTGTCAGGCTGAGCTGGGTGGTGGATCAGGCTCCTTCCTGGGCTGAAGAGTATTAATTGGCTTTGTTATGTGCTGTTTGCCCCTGAGGCTGCTTGGAAAGGATAAGAAGATATCAGCTTAAAAAAAAACCAAACCCCTTCCTTCCTTTTTCCTGGTGCTAAGTGTCATGTCTCTGCTCTGTGTGTGTGGGGAGCAAGAGGGGTAGCAGGTGTCTGGCCTTGCCCGCTATGTCCGTGGTTGGATTTCCACTTCCTCTTCTCACTTATGTTTTATCCAGCTCCTTTCCCTCTCCTTTGTGGCTCAAGGGCAGGGTGCCCCCAGGGCTGCTCTGTGTGCTCCTTGCTGCCTGATTCCCTGCACTGGCACCTGATCCCGGGCTCCGGCAGCAGTGCAGCTCACACCTGCAGCTGGGAGCAGGTGCAAGAGCCACTCAGGCAGCAGTGGGCAGGGGCCCAACCAGCACCCAGGGTCCTGTCTGAGCAGCTGCAGAGGTCTGGGTGTCCCCCTCCTCCAGGATGAGCTTGTTCTGCCCAGCACCCAGCACTCCTTGTGTTCACTTCCCCACCTGCTGCCATCTTCCCTCTCTTTTGGTCACTACGGGTGCTTCTTGGCACCCTCTTTGGATCTTTGTGTGATCCACCACCTGTGAAGCTCCTGGGTTTGGCTCCTGGGAGGGACCAGGTGGCCTGGCCTCTGGCTGAGCCTGGCCAGGCAGCGGGTGTGGAGCTGCCCTGCTCCTGCTGGCACCCAGGGTGACATGGGCTATGGGGCCTTTGGTCAGGGCTGAGCTGCAGCTCAGGCTCCTGCTCAAGCACAGGTGCCTTAATTGGCTTTGCTGTCCCACCAGTTGCCCTCGGTACTTGTGCTGCTGGCTGGTGACCAGGTGGCATCAGCAGCTTTGGTTACGTGTGTGTCCCTGGTACCTTGTGGCATGGAGGATGAGGGGGTGTGGGTCTCAGGGTTGCTGCTCCCTAGGGCTGAAGAGACACAAGCCACAGACATTGTGGGCAGATTGCTTCTGCCACACTTGGAAAGAGGCAGATGGAGGGGAGGGATGCAGCATTTTAGGCAGAGGGGCCTGTGAGGGTGGGGTGCTTCCTCTACCCAGGTCACAGCTCATGTCCCAGCACCAGCAGGGACTGGTGGCAGCTCAGGGGGACAGCAGGGACCTTCTCTGCCCCCCTCTGCTGCTGGCACAGTCCCAGATGCAAGGCTGCTAGGACAACAGGAGTACAGAGCAGATTTAATCAGCTTATGGTATCTGGCTGTGCCCACATCTCTGCCTGTACTTCCCGTTGGCTGTTCCCCCCTTTCTTATCACGATCCCGAATGTCTGAGCAATAGTGTGTGTGTGTTGACATCAGACCTCGCCCAGGACGAAGGGTAGTGCTGCGAGGGGGTGTTGCTGCCTCAGAATTGTCTCCATCAGCTGTTTCCTTGATCCACAAACGTGTGCTGGGCTCTTCAGACCTGGTCTCCAGACGCTGCAGCCCCTCATCCTGCTGCCTGGCTGAAAACCAGTGAGTCCAGTGAAAACCAATGGGTCTTGCCTTGGCCACAGCCTGGCTGGGTGCAGGGTTCAGGTACCATGTTAGTAAACACAGCCAGGGAAGTGCAGCTGTGGTGGGGAAGGGCCATGCCAGCCTGGCTCCAGGCTCCACAGCCCCCTTTGCCTCCCCCAGCCAGGCCTGGTTTCTCCTGTGCCGATACCGCTCCCGGCTGCCACCTGCTCTTGCTGATGGTTTGTCCCCCTTTAGCCAGGAAATCATAATCCCTGCTGCAAGCAGCCAGCACCAGCTCCCCATGGCTTTGGGTGCAGCCCCTTTGCCTTTCCAGGGCCTGCCAGCCTGTGTGTTTTGGGGCAGAAGAGTTTTCCATCAGGCCAGTAAACTGAGCTGCCTCATTCATCCCATGCCTGGGTGTGCCACAGGAGCGTGTGTGGTGGCAGGACTGTGGCTGCTGCAGCCACACAGGGTTTGGTACAACCTGCCTTTGCTTTTTCCAGGTTTTCCTGCTTTTTTTTTTTTTTTTCCTCTTCAGCAGATTGGGTAACCCCAAATCACTGGGTTGCAAAGGGAGGGAGCAAATCTCAGGTGGTGCCACAGCCCCATGCCTCACACCCAGGTTGTAGTCCCTCCCTGGGGGAGGGACTGAGTTGATGGGGGGACTTTTCCTCCAACCAGAGCTGAATCCAAACCAATTCTCTAACATTTCTATTAATTCTGACCTACAATTGAATTAAAACGTTGTTGTCTAGTCCAAACTTGGCTAAACCCTGGCACAGAAGAGGAATAAGCTTCCCCTTTGCTGGTTCTGCATCAGTCCTGTGTGTGCCCCCTCCTCTCCTCCCAGACTGGGGTCTGCCCTCCTGGCCGGCCTGTGTCCCTGCCTTCTCTTCCTGCACCCTTCCCCCGCCCTGTTCCTCTCTCATGCCTGTGACATGTGACACATTTACCAGATTGTAACTGGTCTGAACTGGAAGCTAACCAAAGTTATGTCAGTCATACCCTTATCCTGCCTTGGGACAGAATGGGAAGTACTGTGGTCCGTGGGGTGGGCTACCTGCTGCAGCCCCCCACCTCCTGGTGTGAATGTGGTGACTGTGATCTTGTCCTGTGAAGGACTTGCCTCAAACTGGTTCCTGCTGGGCTTCCCCTGCTGGGTTTGGATTTGGTTCCCCTCCCTGCAGGCAGCTGTTGTGGAGCATCACTGTGAGTTGTGAAATGCTTGCTGGCTCCAGCAGTGATGGTGATCCCAGATCCCCGTGATCCCAAATCCCCGTGATCCCTTCTTGCCTCGCCACAGGCAGATGGATGTGTGGGTCCCTGCCTGGGGACAGGAGAGTGGCTGTGCCCTGGGTCCCTGCCTGGGGACAGGGGAGCAGCTGTGTGCAGTGCTTTCTCACGCAGGCAAGGGGGCACCAAGCCCCCCTGGGACAGTTTTGGATCATCCCTGGGGTCTTGCAAAGCCCTGCTGTTGTGCACAGGGCTGAGGTGGGTGCCCAGTTTGCGTGCTGGTGGTAACATAGTTTTCCTTTTTATTTTCTTTCTTCCTTTTTTTTTTTTTTTCCCCAGACTGCTCTCAGTGCTTTTTTCCAAGAAACAAACATCCCCTACAGCCACCACCATCAGATGGTAAGTGCTTTCCCACATCTCCAGAGCTTGCCCAGGGCACAGCACCAGCTGGTGGACACTTTGGACTAGTGCTGGTGCCCAGCTCACTACTTCACAGCTCCAGGAGAGCCAGCAGGGAGGTCCAGCTGGGCACTGCCAGGGCTGCCTGTCAAGGAAGGTTTTCCTGGAGAGTGGCCAGAGGTGGCATAGCCTGTCCTAGGCAGTGGGACAACAGGTCCAAGAGTGCCCTCAGAGCCCTGCAGAGGGGTTGGGGCTACTCCTCAGAGAGTAATGGTCTGGCAGAGGATGCTTTGGCCATGGCTAATGGGCAGACCACCCACCCAAGGATGGCAGAGAGGGGTTGGGGAGGCCTGGAGCCTATGTCAGCAGTGCCTTCAGTTACGGGCACTCCTGACCACGCATGTGGGTCCTCATGTGCTCGCTGGAGCAACAGCATGGAAAGGCCCAGGGAGCCGTGGTACAAGGTGCTGGTGGGACCTGTGTGAGCACCCACGGGCTGCAGGCGGGGGGAGCTGCCTGCCCCCAGACTCTGTCCCTCTAACTCTTGCACCCCAACAGCCCGTAATCTGCCAGGGCAGATGTGTTTTAGAGATTTGCTGGCTGCCGTGGCCTCATTTGACTCTGTGGGATGATTGGGGATTGGGAGCGTGCAGAGCAAGTGCCAGGCAGGGCCTGAGCATCCCCGGGTTCCTGTGGGATGGGAGCCGAGCCTGAGCCTTGTGCCTGCCAGGCTGGAAAAGCTGCCGGCCCAGGGTGGCACCAACAGGGGGAGGATGGAGCCAAGGGGGCCCCAGCTTGGGCAGGGCTCTGCGTGCTGCAGTGGTGGGGACAGAGGGCTCTGTCCCTGGTGGGGGGCAGCAGGTGTGTCCCCCCGCCCTGACCCCCTCTCTCCCTCCCACAGATGTGCACTCCCGCCTTATTTTCTTTCTTCCTTTTTTTTTTTTTTTCCCCAGACTGCTCTCAGTGCTTTTTTCCAAGAAACAAACATCCCCTACAGCCACCACCATCAGATGGTAAGTGCTTTCCCACATCTCCAGAGCTTGCCCAGGGCACAGCACCAGCTGGTGGACACTTTGGACTAGTGCTGGTGCCCAGCTCACTACTTCACAGCTCCAGGAGAGCCAGCAGGGAGGTCCAGCTGGGCACTGCCAGGGCTGCCTGTCAAGGAAGGTTTTCCTGGAGAGTGGCCAGAGGTGGCATAGCCTGTCCTAGGCAGTGGGACAACAGGTCCAAGAGTGCCCTCAGAGCCCTGCAGAGGGGTTGGGGCTACTCCTCAGAGAGTAATGGTCTGGCAGAGGATGCTTTGGCCATGGCTAATGGGCAGACCACCCACCCAAGGATGGCAGAGAGGGGTTGGGGAGGCCTGGAGCCTATGTCAGCAGTGCCTTCAGTTACGGGCACTCCTGACCACGCATGTGGGTCCTCATGTGCTCGCTGGAGCAACAGCATGGAAAGGCCCAGGGAGCCGTGGTACAAGGTGCTGGTGGGACCTGTGTGAGCACCCACGGGCGGCAGGCGGGGGAAGCTGCCTGCCCCCAGACTCTGTCCCTCTAACTCTTGCACCCCAACAGCCCGTAATCTGCCAGGGCAGATGTGTTTTAGAGATTTGCTGGCTGCCGTGGCCTCATTTGACTCTGTGGGATGATTGGGGATTGGGAGCGTGCAGAGCAAGTGCCAGGCAGGGCCTGAGCATCCCCGGGTTCCTGTGGGATGGGAGCCGAGCCTGAGCCTTGTGCCTGCCAGGCTGGAAAAGCTGCCGGCCCAGGGTGGCACCAACAGGGGGAGGATGGAGCCAAGGGGGCCCCAGCTTGGGCAGGGCTCTGCGTGCTGCAGTGGTGGGGACAGAGGGCTCTGTCCCTGGTGGGGGGCAGCAGGTGTGTCCCCCCGCCCTGACCCCCTCTCTCCCTCCCACAGATGTGCACTCCCGCCAACACGCCGGCCACGCCGCCCAACTTCCCGGATGCTCTGGCCATGTTCTCCAAGCTGAGGACCTCCGAGAGCCTGCAGAGCAACAACAGCCCCATCCCATCCATGGCCTGTTCCCCACCGGGGAGTTTCAGCCCTTTCTGGGCTTCCTCACCCCCCAGCCACCAACCCACCTGGCTC